TTATGCTGGTATGTCAGGTGAGTTTAATATGCTGTAGTTCTTCCTACAACAGATACCCTAAAAACAGTTTAGTAGTTAGGAAATGAATGCACCAAACACTATACTAAGTCCTTAAAGTGTGTTTAAGAGCAGCAGTAGTGTTAAACTGAAGAGATTGAGCTGCCAAAAAGGTTTGGTTTCTTGATTAGTTTCCCCCATGGGTGGTCTGCAGTTATGGTTCAGTAACAACTGTAGATTAGGGGACTGATTATAAGCCAGGACAGTCTTTCCTTCAAGGGCAGTTTATGAGAACCATCACTTTCCAGTAACAGTTACAGGTCACTTCAAAGGGTTTTACAAATTTAGCATTTTCTTTCCAGTGTTTGTTCCTGTCAGTAATTAGTGCACTGAAGAGCCATGTGGCAGGAAGGACAGCTGCTTGCTGCATGAAAGAAAGGCATATGCAGTTTTTTGCATTACTATTTAGCAGTTACTGTTTTCTGAAAGTTGGTTTCATTAGACTCTGTCATGAACCAATTGCTCTGTTCACCAGAAACCTTAATGCAACCAGTGTTAATGGGCAACAATCCCTCTAGCATGGTGTTGAAGTGGTTTTGTAAATAACAGGTTTTCAGAGGGTGTTTTGTGCCTGCTATATGATACAACTTTAATGAGATACTGTCGTCACAAATACTATCATTGGAGAGAACCCAGGTTCTTTCTTTCATTGCTATCTGTTCTGTTCTTCTACATGAATATGTACTATGCTGGAATTGGCTGGCTCTGAAAAAACAGGTGTTTTAGATGTCCAGAGGGGTTTTCAGGTGAAGGACAGCAGAGCTTAGCACTGTGTGCAGAAACGTTCCTATGTTAGTTCCTTCCCTTACATGTTTTCACACAATAGCACTTTTTTCTCTTCATCAGTGCCATACGCTTGTGGACAAGTTGCCAACAGAAGTTAGGGGTGGGTCTTTAGGGAGTCATTGTCATTCAGTGAAAATCCGAGGTGCTCTTTTCTTTGACTGTGGGCCTTCTGTTCAGCACACTTACTAACTCTGTTTTGTTCAAAGTGCTCTTCCTCTTGTTGCAGTGAAAGTAAGATAGTTGCAGAAGCACCATAGATGCTCTCTTTGACCTTACTAACCAAATAGGATGGTCCATCTGTTCATGTTGCTGGGTCATGGCCTCAGTGAAATCATACTGTAGATATGATTGGCCTCTAAAACTAGGCTGATAACCCCAAGGAACTGGGTCTCCTTGTTCACATTTTTCATATTAACTCTGAACCAATTCTATAGTAGCCTTTAGAAGAGAAGTGCACAACACACTATAGGTTGCATGTAGCCTTGGATGACCATAGGATAGGTGACTTTATTCTTGTGGATAAGTGGAACCTACTTCCAGAGAAGTCTGCATTGGATTTGGAATGCTGTTGAATTGATCCTATTTAATTCTGACTTGCAGAAGCTTCTCTGTTTCCATCTGTCCCCTTTTGTGTTTGACCCCTACAGGTTGACCAATATGTCCCTCAGCCCAATGGAAGTTATCCACACTTGATTTAAAAGGTTCTTTAGAAACAGATTTGGTTACTTCATTAATCCCTACTAACTATTCTGCTCCAGGAACTGATGGTGATTTTTAATGCATGCTTTTCATTGTATTTTAGTGGTATTGTTTCTTATGGTTTTATGTTGCAAATCATTATGAAAGGCTGCATTGGCTGAAAGGTTGTTCTGAAAAGCATGCATGCATGCATGCATGCATACAAATAAATAAACAAACAAACAAATGTGCCCATTAAATCCACTGGTGGTGTTACAAAGACTCGCAGGAATAGGCTCATGGCAGTTGTCTACCACATACAGACGTTTGTTTACTCATGCTATACTTGTGTCACACTAGTGTAACAATGTAAGAGGGAAAGGCTGCAACCTAGAAGGCTCTGCAGAGGATATTGTTGCTTAAAAAAATAAAACTTGAAAGTTTCTTTATACAACTGAGTTTTGGGGGGGGGGGTCCCTCCCACCCACCCAGTTCGTCAGTTTCCTTTTGATCATACATCGCCTAGACTGGAAGTCACTTCATTCCAGCAATCTGCCTTGCAAGTATTATTTTTGATTTTGTCTTTGCCCTTTTTTGTCTACTTCCCCCTTAAAATAATAATAAGAGGAAAAGCTTCCTCACTTTGTTTTTCTCCACTTTTTCCTCCTCTTGCCATTTTTATTCCTGATAGCCTCTGACCCAGCCTTCCATAACTGTACCTCATGTGCAGCCCACCTGCCCTTGACAGACAGTCACTCCCTCTGCCTCAATTAATCATGGCATGGTGGAGTTACATGATAACTCTGGATGATGTAGATAGAATGAATGGAATGCAACACTGCAGCTCCTTCACAACAGCAAGCCAGCTAAGTGTGCATGTAGCTGGGTTGCTGAGGAGAAGAGTGATGACCTCTTTTTCCTCTTTTTTTTACTTCTCATTTGCTTATTAAGGCAGGTTGAGTGGGTAACAGATTCCATAGATTCTTTTAGAAGCTACAGTTTCCCCTGCAATAAAAATCTAATCAGTGGTCTCATTGTGCCTGATTTATTTCCTTTGCATTTACTGTTCTCTTAGTTACCCTGTATTCTTGTTTGGAAGTAGATTTCAGCTGGATTTGGAAGTTTAGACGTAGCTTTTCTTAGACAGGAGAGAGAATCTGGAGTTTTCCATCTAACTTCTAAGTAGGCATTTCAGCATGCCTTCTGGTGAGTTGTGTTGAACTCCAGAGTTATGCCAAGTGCTGAAGGTTGCTTGCAACATGTCTATCAGCTTAAATCTCCTTAGGGCCTCTTGTCAACCAGTGCTGAAAAAGCAGGTGGTCTGAAGTGAGGGTTCCCTTTGGGGTTTCACACTCTGTGGACTACATGCAGAAGTAAAAGGCAACTGTCATTTCCTTCCATCCCTAGTTGTCTCCCCTTTAACAAAATTAGAACAGGAGGGAGATGGGACACAGATGGATATGTTGGAAACCTGTCAATATCTTTAGGAAGGAAATGCCAGAGCACCATCCCAGATGCTTGTGAAATAATCAGATAAGACAGGCACTCATTTACTTATTGAACTAATAATTGGTCAGTGGGGTGTTAAAGGAGATATGGAACATTTATTTTGGGCCATAACATTAAAGTGACCTTGAAACAGGCTGTTTATCACTATGGAGAATGGTTTTACACACTGAAGTAAACAATTGATTTAAAGCAGTTATTTAATTTCACTATGATATTTTACTGGTGGTAAGAAACTTGAGGGCAAGTGGGAGCCTACACAGCTTTGTTTCTGATACTCCTAGTTTTTTTTTTAAGATATAGTTAAATATGACAATAGTATTCTTTTCTTGTTCCTTTATTGTTGCAGAGGAAAGTTAATCTTAACTGTGATTAATAGGAACAACCTAACCTCAAAACATAGTCTATAAACTTGGCTTATTTCACTAACCATAGTTAAGATAAAGCACGTTTCAGCTTTGGACAGCACACAAAACTGTGTTTCATTAGAGTGGAAGCAGAAGCTTTCAGTTCCCTGTTTGCCATTGTCAGAGGAAGAGAGATATGGGATGTGTTTGAGAAAAAAACACAGATTCATTTTTGTAATGCTAATCCATGGTACAATATCTAGTAGGACAGCAGCACTATTATAAATTACATTGCACAAGCATAAGGAACTTCTGCTACCCTGCCAGTAGAATTAGTGCAAGCTATTGGCTTTCCAGGAAATCCTGTCAACACTTGCTAATTTTGGAGTTGTGCTAGAGGACTCTTGTGTTAGCATAACACAACTTATATTAGCACCCATGTCTAACTAAATACTGCTGTTTAGTGTCACGTCAGAATGCCGCCATTTTGTTCTATATTACCTTGCATGCCCATGACTACCTCAGGAGCAACGCTATTGGTGTGAGGTGAGAGAATAGGGAAGTTTGGAATGGCACAGCTTGGGTGGAGACTTGACTTTTATATTTATAGCTGTTATTCTTTTACCTTGAGGTATGCATAGGGGCTTGAGGGCCACGCTTCAGCCCATAGTTCATATATATAATATTTATTTGAGTATATATTTGTTATTTGTTTTTCGGCGCCAGGCAAAGACCTTTTTATTCAAGCATCATTTTAATTGTTAATGGTATTTATTTTTATTCTTTGGCCAGGGTAACTTATTTTATACTGTTATATGTGTTTTATATTGTTAATTTATGTATTTTAATTTATTTATTTATAAGCCGCCCCGAGGCTTCAGCGAATGGGACGGCCTAGAAATTTTCTAAATAAAATAATAATAATAAATAATATATCTTCAAGTTTTTAGTATAAAATAGCTTACCCTAAAACAAACCAAAACAATAAAAATGAAAATTTAGCCCTGTTAAAAATGCAATTAGAGCACAGAATAAGATACTTAAAATTATAATCAGGAGACCTAGATGCATTTTGAAAAACTGCACCACTGTACAGCTCATCTGAAGCACAAGGAGCAAACTTTAATCCTTTAGGGATGGAATTCCATAGCAGATGCGGCAACTGAGAAGGCCATGCCCCATGTCCCAACCAGGTGTATCATGAAAGCAACAGGACATAAAGAAAAGCCTCTGGTGACATACACAGTTGGTGAACAGGTTCATATGCAAAGAGTAGCCATTCTGACATCCTAGTCTAGACAGTTCAAGGCTTTGAAGGTGATAACCAGCACTTGGAGTTGCACCTGGAAAAAAACTGGAAGCCAGTGCAGATCATATAAGACTGATGTGAACTCCAGAGATCAGTTTTACAGTGGCTGAAGTTTCAAAATGTTTTTCAAAGGCAGACTACGATAAAATGAATGTCGGTAGCCTTCACCATATCCGGATGTACATATATAATGACTTAGTGTCATTATGAATCTAAAACCCCAGTTCTCAAGTATGGAATTGACCCCATTTCAACTCTCAAATCAAATCTTATGTTTACTTGTCCTTTAGAACACTTCCTTCTGCTTTCTATTTTAGTTGCAAGTGAGAAGAGGGCACCAGTAATGCCAGGATCCCCTGTGGAAGTAAAAATACAGTCAAGATCATCTCCATCCAGCATGCCGCCACTGCCTCCTGTCAACTCTGGTGGACCCCGGCCCGTCTCATTTACCCCAGCAGCATGTAAGTCTGTGGCATATTTGGCCTTGAGCCTGTTCCTATAATGATCATTTTACTTCCCTTTCTTCCCCTAGTGAGCACCGTTCTGAGAAGTCTCTATAAGCTCTTCAATTCATTCTCATGCAGACAATATAAAGGGAAGGGAATCTGGTTCCAAGACAGGGAAAGTGAACTGCTGATATTGTTACTGAATTAAGGGTGCATGCCTATGGTCACTAGACAATGTCTAAATAGCCAGAGAATAGATCAAGGGTCCCACCACTGACCTTGGAAATGTGTTCTGGAGTTGGAACTGGGACTGCAACCATGGAGAGCCCTCCTTCTGCCCTTGCAGCTGTGTTGAGGAGGGTGTTATGGGAAGGAGAGGAGTGAGGCTCTGCCAGGATGTGGGAGATCATGGCAGTGCTTCAGATTTTCCTCAAGAGCAGGAGTGAAAGACATAAATGGCCAAAATTTCTTCTGTGCTTCTCCCATCCTTGATTGAGTGTCTGCAATACTTTGAGTTGGGAGGATTACGGGCAGCCACATTGCCTGGCAGCACAAATCAACTTGTCAATTTTACTATGTTTAATAGGCAGAGGTTGGGAAATACTTCCAGAAATGTAAAGGCCATTTTATTTGTCAATATATCACAAATATGTTTCTCCAGAAGAACACATTCTTCTTCAATTCTTTTGTAAGGTTGATGGATGATTGTGGTGGTGGTTTTATTATTCAGGGTTGGCATTGATGGCTGCAAATGCAAGGATTATGAGTTGGCCACCCAGATCCAGCCATGATGTAGGTACTGAGGAAAGAATTCTGTCAGTCATCCTGGATGAGGCCAGACACACCTATGGCCTCTTTCTTTGCAATGATATTCCATAGAGCACTCTCCATTGTGACTGAGATAAAACTTGCTAAGTGCTGTACTTTGTTTTCTGAGAAACACAATACTTGGCAAAAATTCCTTGCAATGAGTGGAGATGGCAGGGATTAAATCTGGGACATTGCATGTGCTTTGTCACTGAGCTGTGGCTCCCCACACCATAAGGTCTTCCGAAAATGTCAAATACCTCATATTTTCCCTCCAAGCCTTACTAGTTGCTATGTAAACCTGAGTGTGTTCGTAATAATAGGATCCCATGTCAAGAACATACTGCACTAGACTTCAAAATATAAAATTTATATTTTCATTGTTTTTTGATCCCCTCCCCTGGCACTGTAGTACCCAATGGGATGAATCATTCTCCCCCTACACTCAATGGAGCACCATCACCCCCTCAGAGGTTCAGCAATGGACCTGCTTCTTCATCTTCATCCTCACTGACCAATCAACAGCTTCCAGCAACTTGTGGGGCTCGTCAGCTCAGCAAATTGAAACGCTTCCTTACCACCCTCCAACAGTTTGGCAACGACATTTCACCTGAGATTGGGGAGAAGGTCCGGACTCTTGTTTTGGCATTAGTGGTGAGTATTAATAGATTGAATACAGCATGGAGCTGAGGCTTTTTCAAATGACTGTGGGGCCTTCTCATTATGGTACACATTTGCTAGCAGTTGATGTTCTTGGGTAGCCACTTTAAAGCACATAGCTTTGAAAAATGCTGTTTGTATCGCCAGGCTAGCTTGCTTGTTTGCTTGCTTTTAACAAAGTTTGCCCTCCTGTCTAGTCTGGTTTTGAGTGTCTTCCAGAACATCATTGCATATCTTTCCCACAGAAACTTCTGCTTTTATGAACCCTTATAACACTGTAAAGCGATGATTACTTTTGACTGGGGTTTAGCCCATCTTTAAAGAGGAATAAAATACATCTTTTAATGAACTCTCTCTCTCTTCACCTCCATGAAATTCAGATTAAATCCACTCTGAGGGAAATGTCTAAAAGAGTAAATATGTGTGTGTTGTATTTCAGCCACAAGCTGAACAGGAGCCAGCAGGCTTCTAAACAATTAATGCAATCTTAAGCTGCCTTCAAATGTATAGTGTCCAGATAATGAGAAGTAATAGTTCCACTCTATTCCACAGAAGTATTATGGGCTACCGGGTGAAGTTCTGTATTCCACTTTTAAAAAAGGCCGAACTGGGTTATGTCTAAAGGAAGGCAACCAGAATAGCAAAGGGTCTGGAAACATATTCCTGTGAGGAATGATTGGTAGAGTGGGGAACATTAAGCCTGGAAAAGAGAAGATTAAGGTGAGGTATGATAGTGATCTCAATTATCCACAAGGCCATCACACAGAATATGGAACAAATAGTTCTTCATGTCCAGTTCATTGTTCAGTTCTGCCTCACATTTGGCTGGAAACACAAGCTGCACTCTACAAGCATACTCACCAATTTGCACACACCAGAATTAGCAGAATGTTTAAATGACATAAACACAAAAACAAAACAAAATACCAAGTTCAAGTTGAAAGGGGTCCTGGAGGTTATTTAGTTTAATCCCCCACTCAATGCAGCATCTGCAACATAGACGAAAACTGTAACAGCCCCAATGAATGTCTGATAGCCTCTATTTAAATAATTGCAGCAAAAGAAATGTGCATCATCTCCTGAGCCATTTTGTTCCTCTGTTGAACAGCTCTTATGTTTAGGAACTTTCTTTTAATGTTAATGGTTGCATTTTTCACCCATTGGTTCTAATTCTGTTCTATAGAACTACAGAGAACTATGTTCTTCCAAAGTAAATGCTAGCTTCTTGGACAAACCCAGTTTGTGGGACAGGGGAGGGTAGGAATTTTAATTGAAAGAGAAACAAAATCCAGATTAAACCCCCTTTCTTTTTACAGAATTCTACAGTGACAATAGAGGAGTTTCACTGCAAGCTTCAGGAAGCTACTAATTTTCCTCTTCGCCCATTTGTGATTCCTTTTTTGAAGGTGATTGGTTCATGCCTTGTATCAACTGGTAGTGTAATACTTGTGAGCCAAGAAGGAAGAAACTCAGCATGCCACTGTAGAACAATGTATATAAGCTCTAACAAAGGATGCCAATGTAGTCGTAACCGCATCCAGTAGCCCCACTTGAGCTTGGCAGGTCTTATCTGAGTTGCAAGCACAGGACGAGGCTGCATACCCTTTACTTTGCTTGTAAATGATTTCTCTCATTCTCCTTTCCTCTTCAGAAAGTGGGGTCTGGGTGCAGAGAACAGCCTTCTCTGACTTGCCCAAAAACCGTATGGGCAACAGAATGGGAAAAGATCCATGACAATATGCCTGGATCAGAGCACATACAGCTTGAATGGTTTATGTCCTAGTACCTGACACATGCTCTTGTGGCCGAGTTTATTCTGAGACTGGGCAGTCTGAAAACACTGCTTCACTTTTGAATATCTGCTGCCTAGAGAGAGGATTTGAAATTGTAGCAATCTGAGTAGTAAAACAACTTATTTTCCACATGCATTTTATAGCACAGTAGGAAGAGTTAAGTATGGCGTCTCTAGGCATATGATACTCAAATGATTCATTTAGTAATATCCTGTCCCACTAGAGCTGAGAACTCTTATTAGGCCTGTAAGAAATTTGAGATCGTGTCTCTTACATAAGAAATGCACAATTTTAACCTCAGAGCATATCTAATGCATTTCAAGACAGCAGTATCTCCTTATTGCTGTAAAGCTGGATTTCACTCAGCTTTTATGATAAGCAATGATAATACTGTTACAGTGAAAATGTACTACCTCATTTATTAGTGTAGCATAAGCTACATTTGTCATTTGCTCTAGGTGTAGGTCACCACCAAAGAAGAAGGAAAATCTACTCAAGAACAGGTGGAACTATACAGTATTATGGAAGAGCATATGTAGAGAAAAGAATAACACTAGTAAAAGAAATTTACAGCATAGTAAAGTTAGAATGACATAAGCCGTGTGCTGTACAAGAGTGAAATATTCCCAAGGACTCACTGACCAATCCAATGTGGATGGCATTTCCTTCTAGTCACATAATATGAAGTCAAACAATTTTGTTTTCCTACAACCTTCAGGGATTTGCACCCATTAAATGTATTGGCTTACAACTCCTGGCATCCCTCACCACTGACTGTGGGACAATAGCTGATGGGAGTTGTAGGCCCAAACAGCTGGACACAAACAACAGTCACAAGTTGCCTGCTCCTGCCCTTTGATCTTTTATGTAGTACTAGAGGGTAAAATTCAGCTATCATGGGGTGATGGAAGAAACAGTTTGTGCTTCCCAAGAACTAGAAATTGCAGTGGGGAGGTGGATTGGCTTCAGATTAACCCCTTGGCTTCAATTGCATTTGATCTAAGTTCTAAAGCTGTTGTATTGGGAGAGGTAGGCTCTGAAAATATGAGGGAAACCTGCCATGTATAACCAATAGTGGTCGGAACCTGATTTTTTAAAGGGATTGGAAAGGGGTGTCTCTGTGATAAGAAACCCCCTGTTTCTGTTTTTAACAACTGTCCTGCTCCCCTAGATCACAAGGTGAACAGTAGCAGTTGGGCTTCTGCAATTTCTGAATCTGATTGGCAATTGCAATACTATTTTGCAGGCCAACCTTCCACTTCTGCAGAGAGAGCTGCTGCACTGTGCTCGAGCGGCCAAACAAACGCCTTCCCAATACCTGGCCCAGCATGAACACATCCTGCTGAATACAAACACTGCATCCCCAGCTGACTCTTCAGAGCTGCTGATGGAGGTGAATGGAAATGGAAAGAGGCATAGTCCAGATAGGTAATGATAGATGTTTGCAATGTACAGAAACCTGTCTCTTTGTGGTCATGTTTGTACGTGCATGTTGTCTGTCTGTCTTATTATGCCTTCAACTGGAAGTTTGATGCATGTCCTGTCTTCAGTTTTGTGATCTCTTCAGACATCTGGGAGTTTCAGACTTGCCTGTATGGAACTTCCTCTCCATTGCGTGCAGCCAGTGTAGTATAGTGGTTAGAGTGTTGGACTGGGGATCTGGAAGTTCTAGGTTCACATCCTGCTCAGCTCACTGGGTGACTCTGGGCCAGACACAGGCTGTCAGCCTAACCCATCTCACAAGGTTGCGGTGGTGAGGATAAAATGAAGAAAAGGAGAACTGTGTAAGCCACCTTTGGTTCCTTGCAAGGGGAAGAAAGCTGGGGCATAAATGTGGTGATGGTGGTGATGATATTGATAATTTCTGACATTTCTGGGTGACCAAATTTTCCCCGTTTCTACCTGTTCATTTGTTGAAGCTTGAGAAACCCCCCAGAGTAAAGACTTGCCTTTTACAAGGTTATATAGTGGGCATTTTGGTCTAATTCATTACGGCTCTTGCCATCTGCATGTGTGAACTCGTTTTCTAGCTCCCAAGTACATTCATTTTTTAATAATACTTGCTTTCATGACTGATCTTCTACAATGAAGAGACTGTCAGTCTTATGCATGTTTAACCAGGAGATCACCCAAAAACTCCCAGCATGCCCCACCTATCTGTACAGGACTGGTTTTTGTCTGGTCCAGGGGTTAGCAACCTGCGGCTCCAGAGCCACATGTGGCTCTTGAATTCCTCTGCTGCAGCTCCTTCGCTCAAAATACATGGCGGCTGCCGATCTGCAAGGAGGCTGGTTAAGTAAATTGCTACATTCCACTGCTATTGTGCAGGGAAAGAGTAGAACAAGCTTCCTGCAGGCTCTCACAAAATGCTGCTGAAAAGATTCTCTTTGTCCCAATCTCCTTCATCTGAATGTTAAAAGCTGCACTTGGGACCTGTCACAATTCACATCACTTGACTGTTTATCTGCTAATCAGTCACTAAACAAACCTATATCTGCGACGCTCCCCCCCACCCCAACCATGGATAAATCGAAGAAAAGTTTCTGAAGAAAACTGAACATTTAAGGTACGTGGGTAGAGTCATTTGCTTTTACAGCTGACGAACTTACGGGGTTTGCTGCACTGACTTTGGCTGCAGGAAGCTGTTCTCCTATTCAAAATATATGAAAGGAATCCTACCAGTTTATAATGTAAGATTAAAAATAACAGTTTTTAGTGACTGAACAAGAGCTGCAGCTAAATCATAATGAAGATATAGATCTACTTCCTTGTTTTAAGAAGATTCTTATAAAAATTTCAGCAACATTATTACATTGAGAGAGGAATGTTTGTTCAATATTTCACCATGAGATAAAAGGATGAGGGCACACAGAAGCAGACGGCATGTTTGGTTTGCTGCAGGTGGATAATTTAAGTTTGGCTTTTTATTTCATAAATATCAGGAGGACTCAAATATACATTGACTATTTGATTTGAAAGTAACCTTCAACCCAGCATCTTTTTTTTTGGGGGGGGGGGGGAGTTCAAAATGTTTTTGTTGCATGCAGAAATAAAAAATTGTTTTCTCTGTAGCAGTTCATTGATTTCATAAATACAACACACTATAGTTTTTTTATACATAGCATAAAGGTAAAAACTATATATGCAGTGTCATCTTCATTTTAGATGTCAAAGGGGTTTTGCGGCTCCCAGTGTTTTCTTTTCTGTGGGAAATGGGTCCAAACGGCTCTTTGAGTGTTAAAGGCTGCCGACCCCTGGTCTAGTCTGTAGATCAGTTGCCTGACTGCACCTGCTCTCTTAGCATTCATGGAAACCTTCCTTTCTTGTCTTGCTTACAGGAGGGAAGAGAACAGTTTTGAGAGAGAGCCACTCCCATCAGAGCCACCTACCAAGAGGGTGTGCACCATTAGTCCGGCACCGCGGCACAGCCCAGCTCTGATGTTGCCAGTCATCAATCCAGCTGGGCAGTTTCATCCTACTCCACCCCCACTCCAGCATTACACCCTGGAGGACATTGCCACATCCCACTTGTACAGGGACCCAAGCAAGATGCTGGAGCACAGGGAATTACGTGATAGACATATTATAGGTAAGGAAGCCATGTAATGTCAGGCAATAGTTCATATGTTTTCAAATATATCTCCCTAATCATAAAAAGCAACAAATGTAAGACATGAATGGAGACTAAGGATCTAAGGATGTACAATTCTGCACCAAATTGTGGATTTGATTTTTCATGCATGTGTGTATGGACACAAATTTTCCCTACTCCTTTGTTTCTCTTGTAGAACTTTGATGCATTGTAAATCCATCCTGTGTTTAAACTGTAATATATGCTTCCCTACTTTGCTTCATATCAAACTGTCAAGACTCTTTCTGAGTGTAGCATTTTCTTTACCATGCATAGCAGGGTTAAATGGAGGCTATCAGGATGAGCTCGTGGACCATCGCTTAACAGAGAGAGAATGGGCTGATGAATGGAAGCATCTTGATCATGTAAGAGACCGGCATGAGAAGGGCAGTGCTAAAGAGAGAACATTCTGCTCCTCTTAACATGAGTTTTGTCCAATGAATATTATGTGCATAGCAAGTTTCTTTATATATGAGCAGGGTGTTTGTCCCTTAACCAAGTATTTGGGTTCCATTTAGCAGCAGCTCTCCAGCATTGCCAGCAAAGGTCCTTCTCTTCATTTGCTTCTTGACTGGAGATGCCTGGGATTGAACTCACAGTGTGTGCTTTGTTCCTGAACTGTGACAAAATGCCACCATATGTGCACAGATCCAATAATATATGTGTATGAATACATTAACATTTAGCCTCCAAGTGCTGTAACTTAGTGGTGGATGGTATGCATTAAATGCACCAGGTCCCAGCTTCTATTCCCAGCATCTCTAGTAGGAGCAGATGTGGGAAAAACCCATCTTCCTGAGACTTTGGAGAGCCACCACCAGTCAGAGTAGCAATTGAACTAAATGGCTTAATAGTATGGCTGGATATAAAGAAGAATAAAATGCAGTTCTCTTCACATAGTTACCAAGCTGGTTCTTTTCCAAAGGTAAGGGTTTTACCTGGAGGAAAACTGTTACATTCAAATATTTCCAAATAAGACAGTGGTAGGTGTAGGTTTACAGCTGACAAAGTAGTGCTGGAAGACACATTAACTTTGTATTTCTCTTCCCAACTGAGATTCTCCTTTCACTCTTGCATTTGGCATGCATTGCAAGGGAAAATGAGGCTCAAGAGGAGAACTGGGCAAAATTTTACCCGGTAATTTCTTTGAAAATGGCCTACTACTGAATAGTTACAGTGGGCAAAAGACTGCAAGCTGGAACAAGTGTTACCCTATTCATTTGAAAAAGACTGGTGGTAAACTTCATCTGCAGCTGCACCCTGTTCAGTAAACGCATAGAGAAACAGGCACCTAGGTAGGCTCAAAGGTGTAGCAATACATAGCTTTCTGCTACCCCAGTAATTTCCTGGATCAACGGTGAAATGGTAGAATTCCCAAGCTGTAATAAAAATTGCATCTGGAACACTTCTTAATAATATTGGTTTGTATACACTTACATGGTGAGGTTTAAAACAACTTGTTACTGCTTATTTATAAATGGCAGGGTCTTATATTGTCTACTTTCTTATACTGTTCAATGTCCATATCAACACACCCATAAAGATAAAGAAGAGTACCTAGAATTAGTACAACCCCACTTTTCCACTATGAATAGGCCAGCAACTAAGACAGCTTTGTATATTGCTCACTTTTAAAAATCTGGTATTCATATAATTTGGCACTCATTTACTTGCAAACTAATCCCAAACTAATTACAAGGAAATGTCCTGTCAAGTATTTTGTAATCTTATGTACATACAATTGTCCCAATCTATCCATGACAGCTTCCATGAAAGGTCACAGAATTTCTGAGTCTTCTTTTCTCTACTGTTGCAGGCATTGAATTGCATCATGGAAATGGTAGAGAAGACCAGGCGCTCCATGGCTGTTCTCCGCCGTTGTCAGGAGGCTGATAGGGAAGAGCTCAATTACTGGAAGAGGCGATGCAGTGAACCCACAGAGCCACGGAAAGGAGGGAGTGATGTAACTGTGAGACAACACAGCCCAGGGAGCTCAGATTCCATCAGCAGTGGTAAGCTATGGGGCCCAAGACCGTTCTTCCCTTGTTCTGTGCTATGAAGTGGAATGACATTTAACAACTATTTTAAGAAGTGGCTTTGTGTTAGTGAGTTCCAGGTATTGACTAGCAAGCCAGAACCTTAGATTGTTCTCATTATTTTCAGTTAGCCTTTTCATTTTTACAGCTAAATCCGCTTATTAGAAGGCAAGGTTTACTAACTATTGTTAATCCAAATGGGGCTGTCTGAAATCAAACATGGTACTTGAGTGTTCTCTCTGCATTCATTTGAGTGTATCCTCTGAAATCAGGGTGTCAACTGATGTTGAGGCAGAGCTGCATACAAAAATCTCAGTACCTGATGATTTTACATTCTTTTCCTTTTTGAGGCACAGGGAAATCCTTTCCTGTCTCTATAGCTGTTGCTATTTATTTGGCATTTTAAGTGTGCTATACAGTCTTGCCTGTTGATTCTCTCCACAGTCCAATGAAAAAGGCCTTTTCCATTCCTCTTACACTGAAGGCTGAGGATGAGCATGACTTTCCCCAGTAGAAACTCCAGTGCAAAATAGTTCATGGGCAAGAGATGTGCATATGGCATTCTAGAATTTCAACGTGCATTTCTGAGAAGATTGGGAGTTTTAAACTCTTTTTCCTCAGAATCAGAAAGATCATACAGTTGTATATCTAGGACATCTCTTGACATTTTGAGATGGATAGAATGACATCAAAAGTTAGCAAATTGCAGGTGAACAGGTGAGGCTCTGCTAAATGAGAATTATTTTGGCCTTCTTCTGGGGCATCTTCAAAACAGCATCATACTTCTTCTGAAAAGTTGGCAAGCCTAGCTATTAAAAAAAGTCTGACAAGGGGACATCTTGACACTGCTGCCTCACCTCAGGGCGCCTGCCTGACTTGGACCTCACAGTAGTGCACTATAGCATATTGCAAGCACAATCACACATGGAGCACATGCTTGCGGGGGCGGGCAGGATGGGGGTCATCTGCCGTCACAACACTTAGATTACATGGCTCTGGGAGGACATTTCCATTGACAGCCAGGAACCTGGATAATTGCTTGCAGAATAAATTCTTGCAGTCCAGCAATTCTAACAATCTCTGTTGTGTTCCTTGTCAAGGATGCGATTTCAGATATGGGGGCAGCAATTTGGAGAAGAGTGCAGCCTGAATTCTAAACATTCCATAGGGTGATGAAGAAATAGTATTGTTTATCTGCAAAAGCACTCCAGTGGTAACAACAGGAAATTGGAGTGCTCTTTGTAAATAAGCCAGTGCTGGTGATCCACCAGTTTGAAACCTATTATATGAATGTGAATGACTGCTAGCACAAGGGAAATCGAACATTTGCTAGTTCAGCTCCAAACTGTCCAGAACTCCTGCCTTCAGAGTGGGACAAGTTAGTGGGGTTCCATTACGTAACCTCTACTCACTTGTCCCATGCTGGGAATGTTAGTTTGCGGTTGCACTAGCAAGCAGTTACACCAGTGGTCATTCCCTCTTAGCACTGCAGCAATATTGAATTTTGCCCTCATCATCTCCTATGATTCAGCTTTTGGAAAACACAGAAGAGCAGTTGCAGGTGAACTTGAAGAGAGAGATGAGTGCTCTATTCCCCCTGGTTTCTTCATATTAGCAGATAAAGATGTTCACATCTGGGTGGAAGAAATGCATGGCGCTCAGCCTGAAGGTAGCCAGTCCGCTCATCTAACTACCACAGTGAGAATATAATGTTTGGACAGTAGCATTTGTCAGTATTCATCTCGCCTGAGCTGTCTGTCGCATTGTGTATCTTCAAGTTCCAGTTTTCAAGTGACTGTTTCCTAAAATGCAGCCTGTACTTTAGTTCTTGGAAATTCTTGGAAATACAAGGCACTTTGTAAAATACAATATGCATTAGCAAGGATTAATGTCTGTTACAGCAGGACAAAGCAGATGCTTGGAGAGATATATTTGTAAGTGCGTAGTCTGTGATGACAGAGTATTAAAAGATGGAAATGGGCTATGCGGTGCAATTAATTATGCAGGACACTAAATTAAATGTGGTCATTTATCATTTTGCCTTTTGGTGAACACTGCTAGCAGCAAACAACTCTTGTCTTCTTTTCAGCACTTAACCCTGTCCTGCTCTCTCAGTGTTACCTCTTGCTGGGCAGATGCTGCATAACATTCCTTAATGTTTGGGAGAGAGAGCATTTCTGTGTTTAATACTATGACCACCACCCTTCTGTTTACAGATTCTCAGCGTGAGTTCAGTAGCAGGTCAGGAGCAGCAGGCTATGTCACTGAAGAGATATGGAAAAAGGCTGGTAAGTAAGGAAGGCCCTCTTCAGAGGACTGCCACACAAACCTGTGGGATATTGCAATAGGTGCTTGCAAAGAAGACACGTATTCTGCATCACAGGTTGGCTGTGGGAAAGCCTCATAAACTGCTTTCTCATTGCCTAATGCAGGCTTCCCCAACCTGGGGTCCTCCAAATGTTTTGGACCACAACTCCCAGAACTTGTGATCACTGATCACACTGGCTGGGGTTGATGTGAGCTGAAGTCTAAAATATCTGGAAAGCACCAAGTTGGGGATGTCTGGTCTAAGGAGTGTTAATGGATGAAACTATTCAACAGGGTGCATCATCTGATGCAGAGTTGACGGCAAGCAGGCAGGCAGGAATTGCATCTTCCCCATGCTGTGAGTTTCTCTAATGCATCACTGCCACCCACCTGGCACCAGCTTTAATACTTTTTGGCACCAGCTTAAGACTCTCCTCTACCACAGGGCATTTAATTAGTTTACTGATACATTGGGGCTCATGTTAGCTGCTTAAAGTATTGTAACTTTTAACATGTGTTTTAAATTTGGTTTTTTGCACACTAACTTTTATGATGTTTTTATTGCTGCCTGCATTTTATATTGTGTTGTATGTGTTGTAAACTGCCAGAAAGCTTTGGCTATTGGGCAGCATAGAAATAATTGTAATCGTGACATTCATTTCACCCTTTTCCAGTAGTTATTGGTCAGGAAGCATCTCATACAGCTATTCCTTCCTTTTCTCTGTAGCAATTTCTTTGCAGTGAGAAAAAAAGATGGGAAGAGGTAGTGGGAAAGTGACATCTGGATGCCTTTTGAATTCAATGTATAGGCAGGACAATTGTGCATTAACAGAAGCACTAGCAGTTTCCCTCTATGCCAGGGGTGGGCAAACTTTTTCTCTGTTAATAGCTATATTATCTGGCAGGCAGTCTGTCCAGGGAAGCATGTCAATGGTGAGTAGCCAAAGCCAATGGCAGGTGAAGTCAGAGCCAAAAGTGGGTCAGTTGCCCCTTGTCTCCTTCGGCCATTTCTTCTCTCTCTGCCACCCCCATTTTCTTTTTCCTTCTTTTTGTCCAGTGGTCTGTCAAGGCAGAAGGAACAGATTGCTCTTGCCAGAGGTCTGAAATGATCACATGCAGAGCACTTTTGAAACTGGGCTGAAAGCCAACTGGCATTAGGTTGAGGGCTGCCTATGTGCTGCAGCTTGTCTATCCCTGCTCTGTGGAGATGGCAGCCAGAGTGGACATAGGAGAACAAAGGAAAGGAAAGAAACTGCCCCTCCCATTGAGATGAGTGGGATGAAGGCTCATAGATTCCCATTTCTTGCTTATAGTAATTTCTAAATAACTTACGCAAATTTTATACCCCTGTCTCCATTATTTGGTGCAGCAAGATAATCAAGCTAGTAATAACTTTCAACCATAATTTGAAACAGTTTCCAAAGGAGTATATTTATAGCACAGTTATTGTGAAGACCTGCTACATGTTCTCAAACAGTTAGGCGAATTTTGCTTTAAGCTGGCTTTAAGCTATTATAAAGAGCTTTCAAGTGGACCTAGTTAAATAAGCAAGCAAAAGAGGCATACAGTCTCCCTGAAAGTTGGCAGCCTTTCCTCCTCTCTCCTTTTCCTTGGGAAGAGAGATCAAAAGGTGTATTTTTAAAGTGGTCAATTAGATAATTTTGAGTTCTTTCTTTAAAAAAAACCTTTTCAAAAGAAATAGCTCCATAGAAATGAAAGTACTAATCATGGGCTACAATTTGTACAGCATTGTCTTCATTCAGTAGGTATAAGGAAACATGCCTGCCACTGTCTAGCAGAGACCATGGTGCATACTGTGGCAAAAATGGGCTTTAGCTTAGGTTGTCAATCAACTTACCTGAACATTTGCTTTAAGTAGAGTTCAGCTGAAAAGACTTACTTCACTTTTAAATCCCAGTTCTCCCAGGTCCCCAGTCCAGCCCCCTAACCACACACCACACTGGCTCTATATTCTTTTGCACAGGTGAAGGTTGACATTTTGTTTTGTTCTTCTTTTGTTCTGTTTTGTTTCAATATTGCCCAAGCTCTCTGTGGTGAGCAATGGTTAATAAACACAAGAAAATGCAATATAAAATAAAGCAGTAATAAAAACATACTGAAATTCCATTAAAAATTAAAACCTTATCTTAATAACTGAAACCAGTCCACACTGCTAGACCTGCTAAAAAGCAGCTGGCAGTAAACTCACAGCTCCCAAATGTTCTTTGGGGTTGTATTATTTGTAGTTGGTAAATGGCTCAGTAAAGAGGGCACTCTTAACCTGACTCCAAAAAGATAGTGAAGAATGCATCTGGTGCGACCTGGTGGGGATATCATTGCATAATTTAGGGGCTACCAAAGAGAAGACCTTCCTCCCTGTTGCTACCAGCCAAGCCTTCCTTTCCAGAGCAATGGTAGTTGGTGAACCACAGATGAATGAAATGTTTAAGTGATGCATCAAAATACCTATAGACTTAGTCTAGACATGGAGGCTAATGATCATGCAGTGCTGTTATCACAGTCAGACTAAAGTATTTATTTTATTTATTTTTTATTAAAACATTTTTTACATGTCACATGTACATGTCACATGTGACATGTGCTCTTTTTTGCTCCAATAGTGGCAGGGTGCTTTCTGTTCCAAGCTGCACTTTACTTCCAGTATGAAACCATTTGATGAGGCTTTTGTTTTCCTTCAGAAGAAGCTGTGAATGAAGTGAAGCGCCAGGCCATGTCTGAAGTCCAAAAAGCTGTAGCAGAGGCTGAGCAGAAGGCATTTGAAATGATTGCATCTGAGAGGGCCCGCATGGAGCAGACCATTGCAGATGCAAAGCGGCAGGCTACAGAAGATGCTTTCCTAGTGATTAATGAGCAAGAGGAGTCCACAGAGGTGAGGAGCCAGCAAAATCTTGGGAGAGCATGGGAAGAGTCTGAAGGCAAGACCTTCAAGATGATACAGAGACGGTTTTTGGGATTCATCGTTCCTTTTTGTTCTGGTTAACTTAAACTCAGTTATTACTTAAGGAAGGTAGCCATGAAAGCTATTTAAATTCCTGTGCTATCAATGCAGCTTTCTCGCCTAGTGCCTCCAAATCGAAGCAGTAACTTGTGTAGCTTTTCCAAGGAAATTTCAGTCATCTTTTAAAACAATAAGCAAGACCTAAATGTTTACTGGGGAGTGCACTTAAAGGGATTTTCTTTCTTTCATTCTCCAGAGTTGCTGGAACTGTGGTCGCAAAGCCAGTGAGACATGCAGTGGGTGCAACATTGCCCGCTATTGTGGCTCCTTCTGCCAGCACAAAGATTGGGAGAGACACCATCGAATCTGTGGGCAGGGCTTACACAGCCAGATTAAACCAGTTCCCTTACCAACAGGGCGGTCTGCAGCCACTGCCCTGAAAACAGTCGAAGGGATAGCAAGCCCAGCTCTAGAGAAAACATCAGCTACCACCTCTCGGTCATCTACTCCAGCATCTGTGACAGCAGTGGACTCAAATGGGCTCTGAAAGAGAAGAGTGCATTCAGCACATTTTATTGTTTTTCTACATTAAAAAAGACACCTCGAAACATTGTCAAAAGGTTGTACTCCAGCACATTGGCAATCAAGTAATGTGACTTGAGGCATTTTTCATACCATTATGATGTCAGTTTTAGGAATCCCATGTTAGCCTTCCATATTGGGATAGCAGAAATCTCTCCCTAGTTTTCTGGCATTCTGAGAACTTTGGCCTGTTTGCCTTTTATCTGAACTTTCTCAAATGGTTACTCCGTTGTTGTTATCACTCAGAGCTTCAAATGAGGAGACTGTTTCTCGTTTTACCACAAAGCTGACCTTCTCATCCCTTGGTATTTAGATTCTTTCTCTGTACAATCCAGACAACTCCACCCCCCCATCCCCCGGTGGCTCCAGGGTTTAACAACACTGTGATGGGGTTTGCATGGTCAGGAAAGGTGGTTTCTTTCCCCTGTCCTGTGAGTGCCAGTTGTCTGCTGCCTCATTTTCATAATTATCCACATGGGTTGCCATGCATCCACACCTTGATCTAAGGTTCTGGGTTGGTTTGGAAGCCATCCCTGTCACTCACCCTCACTGGCGTTGAACCATAAACCAATCTAAGTATGGCACTGGTAATTCTGGAAATGAGATGGTGCGCAATCAGTACATGGAATCAGTACAAAGAAGTCCTTTGGAGGTTTTTTCCCCCTGTCCCTGTTTATGCAAGCCCAGCCTGTGTGTAAGAGAGCAATTTCTTAGAAATTGTTTTTCTTGGGCATCAAGTTGAAGTGAGATATAAGTGGATGCCTGGTTGTTAGTCCTGCCTGTTTCTACCCTTGCTTTCTGGCTACTAAATTTTTTCATTCATACTCTCAAGCTGGACACATGAGAGGAAGGGAGAGGCAGAAGCATGTTGTCCTTGTTGGCTAAAAGTAGGATCTAAAAGGACTTTATGAAACAGCCCTCCAAGCCAATGCACTTGACCCATTCTAAGCCCTTGAAGTTCTGGAGCAGGCTGTCTATGGGCTTTAGGTGTCATCCAAAGACATTTGTAAAGTGGCTTGCCACTCTTTCCACAAAACAAATTGATTCATTTTGTTATCCCAACCCTATCACTGCTCCTTGATGGTTGTCTGCCTAAGAGGAGTTTGTTTTAAATATGTTGTTTGAAGTTCAGCACTGTATAAACTAACACAACAAACATACATTCTTTCAATATCCTGATCTCTCAAAGTACTGTTTGCTAAATTAAGCAAGGGTGCATCTTCAAATTGCTGTCCCCAACTAACAGTTCCATGTGTTGAAAACAAATCAGTGTGGCTCCTTTCCAAAGCATAGCTAAGATTCTGAGATCTGCCTTTTGCATCTTTAGCAACTTGCCTATGTTTCCTTTGCTGCATTTGAAAAGGATGTTTCTAGAACTGGAATTTGCAACTTTGGGCAATCTGAGAACCATTTCTGCCCTCCCCCAGATTCTGCCCCCACACATGCTGCGCTCTGCAGGGCACCAAGTGTAGCAGACAACAAAGCTTTAAACTGATCTAATGTAGCTTCTTCTTAAGCTACACTTGACCCTTTTGGTGTTCTGTAGCATGTACCTGTGAGTTGTCCACCCCTGTTCTAGAAGGATACTTGAATTTAAATCCAGTGGGTTGTGATGCTTCATCTTTAGTATGCCAAACTTGACCATGAGTGAGATGGTTGAATCAAATGGCAGAGCTAAGGAAAGGCACATAAGGAAACATAGCTGTGATGGTTTTGTTGTGCAAATTCCTAGGGAACTAGGTAGTGGTGCCTCCAGCAGGCACTGGCATAAAGGAAAAATGTTAGTCCCCATGCCTTCTGCACAGCCTCATTCTCTTATCTGCCCTACCCCCCAGCTGATTTTAGCCAACAAAAAGGCAATGGGTGGTGCCTTCCCAATTTCCAAACTCACATCTAGTTTACCTTATACAAACTCCTTTCTTTTTATTCTGATTCATGTGTTATATGTCTCAATACATTTATGTCTGTAGAGATGCAACTATATTGAGAAAAACACCTGAAATCCTATGTGAAACTGATCCCTTAGTGATACATTGCCAAAGAAGGACTGTTTTAAAATTCATACTGATCAGTGAAGAAGAACGATCAAAGTTTTAAGCTTACCAAACTATTCTGATTAATTGGATACCCCTATTTGATGCAGAATTCTTCACACAAAGAAACTGAGTATTTTAAAACAGAACTCAAAGTCCTATTAGCATTACAAACTTTGCTAGTGCTGCAACCAACTACCAAGTTTGGTTTCTGCAGTATCCCCCGTTGTTTGCCATAAGTGTGCAGATACTAATTAAAATTGTGGTGCTGAAAGTATTTGCTTGCTTATAAATTTCAGTTGCCACCTAATTCTCCAGAAAGAACTGAATGCTACAAGAACAGTTCCAAAGAATAGTGAATGTGTGCGAAACTGCAAGAACATGCACTGGCATTCTGAAATTGTGTGTAAATAGACAGTCTTCCATAACTTAACATGCAACTACAATGGCTTTCTGTGTATCAAGAAACAAATACATTAATGTACATAAGTTAAAGACCACCAGTCATGATTTTAAAATGATTTTTGGAAAATGTGAATTCTACTATGCGAAGACTTCATGAATTCTGATTTCTATATATATTTTTTGTCATTTGATTCTATACTAGGATTTTTGTTACCTATTTCATGCGCATAACTTATTTAATGTACTGTATAAAGGAACCAAACTGTTACAGATGTATCTAGTTTGTTCTACTCACAGTAGTCAATAAAAAGACTATATTCATCTTACAACAGCTTCCTTCATTTCATTATATAAAATACAGTTCTGTCTAACAGTTCCATCCAACTTGTGGTTCTCCAGACCCCATAATCTTTTACCATTTGTGATGGATCCTAGGAGTGATCATAGTTGCTGTCAAAGAAGTGAAGGGCCACAGATTGTACAGCCTTGATTTAATCAATGGATTTACCAAATGTAGGTTATGATGGAATTGTAGGGGTTTTTGTAGGGCTATGATTTCATTGTTTCTGATTAACAAACCACCCATTATTAGCACAGCTGGGTTCCAACAAACAACCCAAGGTTCAGTGACAACCTACAATCAACTCATACTCAATCGTGAATGTGGGCTGCCATGGTGTGTGAACCCAGTGATGACTACCAGACTATGGAATGGACAAAGTGTCCATTGGTAACTGGGATGCTGGGAAACTAAGGTAATAAGTCCATGTCAGAGCTGTGTCACTGTGATACATGACATGGGATACTTTTTCAGCACATTCAGAGGGTCCAAAGAATCCTCTGAATGAAAAAGAGCTGCAAAATTCAAGGTCAGGAATATTGTGTGCTCCCATTCCACAGCTATGTGGAGAAAGTGTGGATTTTTTTTTTCATTGGACACAAATTTGACACATTCATTGATTTTTCATATTTTACACAAACTTCTAGGCATTATGGTTGCAAATCCATCTTTGAAATAGTCTGCAATGCTGGCTGAAATTTTATTAGCTTAGGGAATTCATCATTGGAAAGAGGCTGGATGAGATCAAGGAACTATCTAGTCCAGCATTCTGTTCACACAGTGACCAGCCAGCTGCTCATGGGAAAACCACAAGCATGACATGAGTGCAACAGCATCCTCCTGCCGGTGTTCCCCGGCAACCGGTGTACATGAACATACTACTTTTGGTACTGCAGGTATCATACATCCAATCAGGAATGGTAGCCATTAATTAATAGACTTTTCCGTTGATTTATCTGACTGCCATTTAAAGCTCTCCAAATTGGAGGCCATCACTACATCTTGTGGAAATGAATTCCATAATTTATGCACTGTAAGAACAAGTACTTCCTTTTATGTGTCCTGGATCTCCCACCAATCAGTTTCATGGGATGATCCCACTTCTAATATTGTAAGAGGCAGGAAAATGACTCCCTATCCACTTTCTTCATACACAATTTTCTATACCTCTGTCATCACCTTACTTGCCTTTTTTCCTAAGCCAAACAATTCCAGCTCCTGTTCGTGGCCTCTGTGCATCACACACATGGGCTTGCATGCCTGCACAAGGTCTAGACCAGGAATGTAACCTTTCTTCATAGAGAAGTTGCTCCAGCTGCTTGATCATTTTAGTTGTCCTGTTCTTCACTATGTAACATATATGACTTTACAGCTGCTTACACTGAACTGCATTTGCCATTATGATGTCCATTCTGACAGTTTGAAGAGATTATTTTGATGATGCTAAATTTGCTCAGGTAAGTGACTCTGTCCAAAGCCTGTTGGAAGGCCAAGTAAATAATGTGTACTGGATCACTCCTGTCCACTCTCAGCTCTAGAAGGATGATGGGATAGGACTTAACTCTTAGCATGGGATGTTCTACTAATTCACCCAGAACAGACGTTAATTTAATTGGCCTGTAATTTCCAAGATCCCACCTGCATCCTTTCTTAAGTATTGGTATTATACTGGCCATTCTCTGGCCCTTTGGTACAAAGGATGATCTTAGGAATGCATTGCCTATTTATGCTGGAAAATAACAGCAATTTCATATTTGAATTCTTTAAGAAATCTAGGACAGAAACCATCTGTGCTTGGTGATGTATTCATTTTCCATTTGTTAAAAATATGGCTTCATCTCTGTCACCAGTATTTGCTTCAGTTCCTTAGAATCCCTTCCTGAAAACATCAGCTCAACCACAAGTATATGTTCTATACATCTTTGGTAGTGAAGGCAGATTAAAAAGTAACTTCTCCAGAATTGCCTTATCTTCCTTTATTACTTATCCTCCCTTATCATAGAATCACAATAATAGAGGTGGAGGAGGCCAGAGGACCATCAGATCCAACCCCCTGCTCAAGTACAGGCCTCCAAGTTAAACTATTCTCAGATTGTTATCCAGTTGCATCCTGAATGTGTCTAGTGTGGGAGAGTTCAAAACCTCCCTAGGTAATTGGTTCGATTGTTGTACTGCTCTAACAGTCAGGAAGTTCTTTCTGATGTTCAGGTTCCCGTAACTTGAGCTCATTATCCTTTTCATTTCCGTTGTGCAAATTTGTGCTTCCTTTTGTTTAAGGCAACCTTTCTGAAGGAAGCTTCTTTTCTCTGGTAGCTTCCCTGACACTGTTCCTTAACACTGTTTGTCACTCAGTGCTACTTCTCCAAATTGTGGTGTCTGTCCTATTTGAGTTTATCTTAGAGCAATTTTGGGTATTCTCTGTTTATTTTATTTATTTAAAACATTTCTATGCCGCCCCATCTCAACAAAGCCTCGGGGCGGCTCACAACACATAAATAAATACAGAAGTAATAAAATAAATAAATACTAAATTATACAATAAATAACACCCCCAGTGCATTCTCGGCTAATAATAATAATAATAATAATAATAATAATAATAATAATAATAATAATAGCAGCACTTCGAAGGAACTTAAGTCTTGACTCCCCATTTTAACTTATCTTTATCAGTTCCCTTATTTTAAAGAAGCCTTCTCTTTCAAAGTCAAACGTGACTGTATTGGATTTCTTTGGCAATTTTCCACTTTAATATAGTATCAGTTGGTCTCCGTTTCCAACTGATTCAAAATTTACATCTCATACTGGGCACTGGGCAACATCACATCCATGGATGCATCCCTTCTGGTAGGCTGGTTGTTTTAGACTGTATCTTTGCAGAAGAGTCTACTCCTTTTAGACTGCCTATGCTTCTTGATGTACAAATCTATAGCACCTCCACTACACTTTTCTCTGTCCTTCCTGTAGTTTTTATATCCAGAGATGAATGTATCCCACTGGTTTCCATAATGGGCAGTATATCTAGATTCTCTTTTGAAATCAGACACTCCACCTCTCCTATTTTGGCTTGGAGGCTGCCAGCATTTGCACAGAAACACCTATCCATTGTGCGCGTCCCCACATGTCTCCAGTGCATCCATCTTCTGGTTTGGCAGTTAGGTCTTGTTAAGTAGCTATCATTTTCTCCATATTCTTATGGCCTATTTCTTCCTCTTTTTACATCTGGACAATCAGAATTTTTTTCACTTTATCCCTGAGGGATGATTTAGCCTAGCTCCTGTCAGTTTTCCAAGGGTTCAGTTTAAAAGCTGCTCTGTCACTGCCTTTTTAATATTTTGTGCAAACAGTGTGATTCCATTTTGGTTCAAGTGGAGCCTCTTGCTCTTGCTGAAGACCCAGCTTGTCCCAGATCTTTCCGTGCCTAATGAATCTGAACCAGTTGTTCCTATACAATCTCATCCATATACTGAGAGTCCTTGGCCATACCTGTCAAGCTGGCCTTGCATGTGGAACAGGTTGCATTTCAGATAAAGGACCTAGATGGTGGTCTTGGATTTCAACCTTCTACCTAGCAACCTAAATTTGGCCCCCGTGACCTCATGACTACACTTCCATACATCATCAGTAGAAACACGATCCGCAGTCACTGAGTCCACCCCAGCACAATCTAGAAATCTATCTAGATGGCACATGGTTTCTCCAACCTTTATAGAAATGTTCATTAAAAAGCCGGATATAAATTTAATAAATAAACAAATCTTTATACCAGGCAATGAGTTTTTCCCCATCCGTAACAACAACCCACATTCAAGGTTGGGCATGGGTTATGGGTGGGCTAATGCTGAAGTCTGCAATGATAGGGAAGCTTGTGTTGTCGTGCCGTCTGAACTCAGCTGTGCTAACAAATCATAGTTTGTTAACCAGAAACAATCCTTGAAGAGTAAGCATTCTTTGTTGTTGGGTTGAGGACTACAGTTTGTTAGCATGGCTGCACTCAGATAACACAACAACCCTTATTTCAAAAAGCCCCATAATTCACTGAAAACCCATATTCAACCCACATCAGCCTTGTTATGGGTTGTCATGTTACCTGAACCCAGTCATAGTGTGTCTCTAACCTTCATGCTCTGGATGTGGGTTTTTTGAACAGACACTGTCAGAAATAGGACACTGGGCTAGCTGAACCCATGATCTGGTCCACTAGGGGTCTTACATTATTATTATTTGAATAGATCAGTCTGTAAGCTCAGCAATGCTACACGAACCATACTAAATAAAAGCCTTCTGCCCAATTCATGACTTATTTCCATTCCAACTCATGCAGAATATTTATTTAAAGTTACAGGTGCCAGAAATGATTCTGAAGAACAGTTCTCCATCATAAACACCTATGCTCCATTTGTACCACAGTGAGGCATCTGTGGTCCATCTTTGTAGAATAATACACTTTTGCTTGAATACATGAATATGTTCTAGGAGCATGCATTTTTAACAGCTATACATCTTGATGAAACAGACTAAAGTTTAAATAGCATTTTGCAACACACACTCCCCCAAATCCAGCAAAGTTTTGTACCATAAAGCTGACATTATGAGCTGACAAGTTCTACATGCAACAGATTTTGACTATTCTGGCCCCAATAATTCGGCTCTAGGTAGAGAACCCGGACATATTTAGAATTGGAATGGAAAAGATAAAAATTCAGGTAGAAAATTGGCCAGCAAAAATAGTCTTCCCCTCCCACTTGTCCCCCCCCTCTCTCTGAAAAGTTTACACACTTCACCACAAGCACCAGCAGCTTTAACTTTGAATGTGATCTCCTAAGAATTACTTTCTAGCCTTGATTACACCCATTTAGTTGGAATGTTTTAGGAGTTATCCTAGAAATAGGAAGAACACTTTTTCAGTTCACACAATATTTTATTTAAAATATAGTCTAGTTTATCACAGAGTGGGCAATAGACGGCTGAAAATTTGAAAAGATA